GTACTTCTTTCTTGATCATGAGTCACGACAGACCAGCGGAATAATGTCCATATAACAACAGACGAAGCACCAATTCTCCTGCACCTCTAGGTCCAATCTGCCATAAATTGGGAAGAAAAACACCCAAATATTTTAATTTAGGGCTTAACAATAAAACAATAACAATATCTATCGCAATAGATACGTGATCAATATCAATAGATAATATGCCTGGTAAAATATTCAATAATTTCCCTGGACTCAAACCAGAACCGCACAGCATTCTGGGGGATGTGCAGAGAAAATACTTCAGTCACTCAGCCACCATGTAAGGCTGGTGGTTACTCACTCTTCGGTTACCTAGCAACAATTTGCTGAGTAACTTGCACAGCAGCAGTTCAAGGCTTTGCCACCATGTCTCATAACTGCTTAAAAATAAATAGTAGTGTGGCGTGAAACTGTAAATAAAACATGAAGGGTCGCACCACCATTTTAGTAGTATTTCAGATATTTAAAACAGAAAACTAATCAATAATTGATATTGACTGATCTGAAACGTCTTTCAGCCATATCGTCTACCCCTACTTAAACTCTTTCACTTTAGGCTAAAACTGCTCTCCAACCTGCAGGGAGCAGTTTTAGCCTTTATTTTGACTAAGAACTGTGGGGTCAGAGGAGCTCAATTGTATCCCATCTGCTTAACTCTTGTCTGTGAACTATTCCCTTGCACAACAATGGGGCCATGTTCCAAAGATGTGAACAGAGTCACATCTTTGAGTGATGAGATGAGATTTATCTTCCCGAACCTCATGTACTTCCTTGATATCCTGACCAGGAACACCCCAAACAGACAGTGACTAGGGGTAGTGCTGCCTACTACTACACAAAGTGCCTCAGGGGAGACGGTTGTGAGACTAAATCTAGAGCCATAAAACAAATGTAAACATTTGTTTACAAATGTAAACCCTTTACATAGCTTATCTGTCTCTCCTACTAAAAGCTCATCCGATAAATTCTATTATTTTGTTACTTCACAGGCATTGTAAAAGGGAATGCTAAATAAAGCATTTAATTGAGTTGTTTTTGCTGTAATTTATATTAATTAAGAAGATCTTTGGATATTTCTGACATGTGTGCTTGGCAGCTCAAATGTCTATCCTCTTTAAGTCAAACTCAGCCTTTTGGGACCACTTGTGAAAAACTATTTGCTGTACCTCACAAAACAGGCAAATCAAAACCATGTGTTGTTTTTCTGTCTCCTAAATCTAAATCCAGCCAATTGTGGTAACAAAAAAGGTCATGTAATCAGACAAATGATATTTCTTTTCTGTTTTTTTTTCTCTTACTATAGAAAGTATCACCACAAATGTAAACAAAAGTACCCTTTACATTTTATGCATTTTCACTCACCAGTGGCCACATTCCTGGCACTCTGCACAGAAACTGGCATCTCTCCTTCTCTGTGTAGTTGAAATCTTTCACATAATAAACTGCCTCTCCAAACAGCTAAGCATGGATGGCTAGGGTCCTATTTTTAAATTTTGAATACTTGCATAGAAATGAAACACTAAAAAAATCTGCCTGAGTCTAAACATTTAAATGCCAGAAAATACGTGTCACCAAAAACAGAAAGAATGATTCAGCAATTATTTTTGTCTGAGAATAATGAGGAATCCACTTCAACACCTCTGGCAATAGATCTAAATCTAATTTCTTCCTGTTTCTTACTGCAAGACAATAAACTCAGTAGTTGGAAACATATAAGACATTTGTTCACTTTCGTTGAAAATCACAGCTTGATACTTTCTGCGAATTGTTGTGAACATGTGACAAAAGGCAGGCAGGCTAAAAGCATGAAGTTGTTCATTCTGAACAAGTACATCGAGCTTTGAGAGACTTTGTCCCTCATCATGTGTTTACACAGACTGCAAATAACCGAAGTGGGTGAGATAAAGAATAAAGATACGATCTGTGCGTGAAAAATGAATGTCATTTCCTGACCACTGACGGACCAATTTTCTAGTCCACTTAAAAGAAAACAATCCTCACAACATAATGCCACCATTACTATGTTTGAGCATGACAATGGTGTGTTCAGGGTGAACTGCTGTTGTAAGTATGAGTAAATGCTGTGATTACATTATTTCTAATTGTAAGTATTATTTGGAAGATGTTTGTTCTGTGTGAATCTGTTGCTATTTGATTTTTTTATCATTATTTTAGTCTTTAGAATAGCAGAATTTCTACATATTTTTATGTTTTATCTATCTGATGAGACCAGGTTTATTTAAATCAGATGTTTTGATCAGGCACTCAAATACTTTTTTATTTTAATTGAGTAATTTCTTGGATGGCTGTTTTGCTATTTTTTATTTATTTTTTTTTTTACTTTGTTGGGATACAAGAATACAAGTTTTGGGTACTTATTCACTCACCTCTCCGTCTAACAGATAAAGTAAGAAGCGTCTGATAGCGCGGAACTCATGTTCCTCTCTAAAGTCGCGGTAGATGTTCCAGACGGAAACAAATAAGCGTAGGACCGAGAAGCACTTGATCGCTGCAAAGCTATTTAGAAATAGTGGAAACATGTTGCTGTGGGAGAAACATGCAGCTGTAATGAATGTTTGTTGACTTATTAAACCACAGAGGTTTCATGGTGGATGCGGTAAAGTAGTCGCTGTGAAGATTTCATTTGCGAAAAGATGTTTGCCAAACCGTTTCGTGTCAAATCCAACACTGTACTCAAAGGATCAGACAGGTTAGTCAGTGCTGCTGACACCACAAACACTATATTTCTTAGAGCTATGTGTTTAAGATAGACCCCACAATTTCTTTAAAATTATTAATTGGCGTGTCTACTAAGGAAATGTGTCCTTCCAAACTTCTAATTTTTATGTGTGTGTGTTTTGTCCGTTATTAATTTGAACACTTTAAGTGTTATTCTCTAGGCTCTAGTACAGTGTTCAATCGTTAACATTATTGATTAAAAGCCATTTAATACAATTAAGAAAATGAAATTAACTCAGAAAAATCTTCCTTCTAACTGCATGTAGGAGAAAGTTGAAAGCTGACCTTTCAGCTGCATTTCCATCCGTTTCTGCTGATGAACTGTCTGAGCTCGTCCCCAACAAAGAAGAAATTAATGTCGTGAAGATTTATGCACACAAAGGAGAAGCTGTGACTCTTTATGTTCTTCATAAAAACCCTATCTTCTTTGAAGTGGAGAAACGACTTTATCCTACAGGTATTAAAGAATAAATAAGGCATAATGTAAACAGGAACTAAAGCATGATGAATGTGCTCAGAATGTTGATTTCTCTTTCAGTGTATGTTCTATGGCGACACCCTTCTCTCCTACCAGTATTCAGAACATGGGCTCCTGTGCTTCAGAAGTTGATTGGAGGGGCCGGTAAGTTTCCCTTTTCAGCATGACATATGTTGTGTCTCTGCTTGTCTCGGTTGTAATGAAAATGATGTGCTTCTCCACAGATCTCATGCTGCCAGGTGTGGTGATGCCTTCATGCGGGCTTCCAGATGTAAAACAAGGGTCCTGCTGTGCTGTTTTGATTGTGAATAATAGGTGTGGCACAGATTTAAAAAAATGCAGATGCTTTCTTTCACCACCCTCAATGATATAAGGATATAAGGATGCTCTACTTGCTGTTGGCAGGGCTCCTGTTGCTGTTGGAAAAGCTGCAGCATCAAGTGCGGAGATGCAGAGCTCGGGTATGAAAGGGAGAGGAGTGTGTGTTCTTCACACGTACATGGATTACCTCTGGTGAGGGACTTAAAACTTTTGCATAAGAGATAAACCAATCAGGCATTTACGAGTTGGTGTTGATTTTTTTTTTTTTTTTTTTTCCAGTAAGCTTTATTTGACTTCCTTGGAAGTCACAGTGATATTGTTGCTCTTTTTTATTTATTAACACCCCCATTTGTAGGGACTTTATTCAGTGTCACTACATGTAAATGCATCCTCGTAGATGGATACATTTCAAAATTTGTATTTTATTTTACAGGGCGTTTGGAGATAAATCAAATCCTCCCTCTTTACCAGATGAGGATGATGAAATAGAAGATACAAATGGAGAGAAATGCAAAGTTAGTGAGAAAGAAGAACGTAGAGATGATGATGATGATGATTTTGGAACGTGTGCAGAGGAGCAGCAGAGCTCTGGTGAAACCGTTACAGATCAAGCCTCTTCTGGTTTTGAGGAGCTGAACCTCACTGAGACGGAGGAAGACAAGGTGGAAAGCAATGAAAAAGGCGAGGAGAACCAGGACGAGCAGAAAACTCCTCAAGGTAGCAAGCATAAATAAATAGATTTTGTCTACAAATGGATAAAAATGTCCCAATTTTGATATGTTCAAAGCTTCACCTGTAGATGAAGATTTTATTTTTGATGTTAGAAAAATAATATGAGACAGAAAAAGTTTTATACCCTGATCCTACAGAGGAAATGGACGCCCTGCTGCTGCAGTGCTTCCTGCATGCTCTGAAGAGCAAGATTAAGAAATCAGAGCTCCCTCTGCTGACTAGCACATTTCTCCGGAACCACATGTTCACCTGCTGGTAAGGTCTTCACCAATCTGGTCAAACCTGCTGAAAACAAATTGAAGTTAGTACTCTTGAGAGCATCCTCTTTTTTTTTTTTTTTCCAGCCCTAGCGGAAAGCAACTGGATATCAAGAAATCCAGCTATAAAAAGGTACAAAAAATCCCCAGAATAGGACTAAGCCGTAGCTATATTACACTTTTATTGTCATGTATAATTTGCACCTTTTCAACAGCTGTCCAAGTTTCTACAAGTCATGCAACAGCAGCACAATCTTATTCGAGTGAAGGAACTCACCAAGGGCGTGGAGAGCATTGTGGAAGTAGACTGGAAAAATCAACAGTGAGTTGAACCCTGCTTACTCTCTTTTTTTTTTTTTTGCCTTAATTTCATTTCTGCAAGCCTCACACATTTAACTCTGCTCGTCGCTCTTTGAATTACTAAAACATTTTTCAGACTGCGGTCCTTCAGCATTCCAGAGGAGGCAGGTGTTGAAGAAACGGCGGTGCTGAGTGGAGAAGGAGAAACCCCGTACCACCCTCCAGAGATCACTACTCTGTACTCTGTCTCTGCTCGGTTGGAGCCACTGTTTTTAGATGCAAATAAGAGGTGTGTGTGTGTGTGTGTGTGTGTGTGTGTGTGTGTGTGTGTGTCCACTTTGAAGTTCCCTCGCCCCCACGCTCCTCGCGCAGGCTCATGTTTGCATGGTTCAGGCAGCAGGTGGCCATCACAGCAAGAGCTGGAGCCGGTGTTTACTTTGAGGAGATAGTGCAGCAGGGACAGTGTCCGGGGTTTGCTTAAACTGACCTTACCCTCTCATCTCTCTTGTGAAGGGATAAGTTAATATTCCCTAGGTGAAAGTCAAATCAATATTAGTCTTCTGCACACCCCAAGATCATCCTTTTTGTTTTGCTTTTCTTTTAGTGTGACACCATATACTTTCTTTTTCTTTTATTTCCATTTTCAAGAAAATATAAAGCTGTACATCTACAAAGAAATTTGACAAATGTACTTTTTTGTTATTCTTGGAACAAAGCAGATGAAGCATAGTTAACGAAGGCCTTTGAAATACTTTATGTCAATGGTTTGGCCCGTTTATATTAACTTTCTTAAAAAAGGATTTTATGCTTTAGTAACAACCAGATTTAAGGCAAAAAATTTGAGCTCAAAGTGTAATGGCTCTGGCCATTTGCATCTTGTCACCACGAACTTGAACCTATAGAAGCCACATTAATTTGTGACTTCAGTATGGTTGGAGTCATGACTTTACTGAAGGATGTTTAAAACCAGCATAGTCTCAGAGATTGTAGAAGCAAGAAAATAGTCAGTGCCACAAAATTGACTCCTAATCACAACTGCTGTTCACATGAACTAAATGCCATCTGGAGAAGTGCTTTGTGGTCAGAAGGGACAATGGTTCATCTGTTTGGCCTTAAAGACAAAAAGGAATGTTTGAAGAAATCCAGATTAGGCTTTTAAACCTTTAAGCATTGCACTAGCTTCTGAGCATGGTGGTGGCAGCGTCATGCTTTGGGGCTGGACACGATGGGATGTTCCAGGAGGAACATGATACCATGCTTCAAGAACAAAAACTAATCATGTGTTGGAAGATTTGTGCCGTTTTCACTCTGATGAAAAGATTGACGTGTGCTTGTTTAGGAAAGGGACGACAATGCTTCCTGCTGATGTCAGAAGTATAATCACTGAATATGTGAAGAAAAATGAGCTGGTGGATGAGAATAATAAAAAGTAAGTGGATGTTTAACAATTGTTCTGATTAGCAAACTGCAGCAATTATTGCCTCAAGAATTAGGAAACACCACAAAAATTAACATTAGTAGCAGTGTCTTATTTTGATTAAATACTGTTTTACATTCGTTTATCCTGGTCTGTCTTCACATTAAACAAAAATAAGCTTCAAAATGAGACGCCCTTCATTGTTTTTTAGAACTGTGGTTAAAATGTCCACCTTCACGGCTAAGTAAATTTATTACTGAGAACATGTGATGCAGTAAAAAGTTCTTCTTGTCATGCTGTGAAAGCAAGCGATTCTCAAGATGTTCTAAAATAAGACTATAATTGCAAATAAAAGAAATCGAATCAAATCTATTAGCAACTCACCACAGGCCACATTTTCCTTGTTTAGAGCCAACAGTTTAACCAGAGCTCTTTTTTTCTTTCCACCAGTTATGTGACTATAAACCCGACTCTGTGTGACTGCTTACTGGAGAAATCAGAATACCAGGAAATAGAGTCTCTCAAATGGGATGATCTTTTTAGCAGGTAAAAAAAAAATTTAAAGAATATGAATGAATGTCATACCCTGCTTGTGGCTTCATATTTACATTATTTTGTCATTTTTCCAGCTGTTTTTAACTGCACACTCCAGTGGTTGCTAAGTTGACGATGGTATACAAACACCAATTTAAAACAGATTTTTAATACAGAAGTGTTTACCTACTAAAATACTTGTTTAGGTTGGTAAGATGCTTCTGACTCTGTGTATGGCTCAGAAATAGAAATGTTTCCTTCCACTAAATTTTCTGTTCACGTGAAAACCAAGAACGTGGGAGGGGGACACGATACTTGTCGCAGTATTTTTTATTCAATATCAGCTTCTTCTTCACAGGACATTGGGAAGAATGCAAGAGTGTTATCAGGTTGTGTTTCCTGGACAAGCAGCAACAGTAAAGAAGGGTCACATTGAGCCAATAGACATCTCTGTGGCTTCTCGAGGTTCTAATAAGAAGGTGACAAAACTTTTCCTAACTTAACAGTTGTAGCTCTGCATAGATATTTGCAAGTAAAATGTCCTTTTTGTTTAGTTTTTGTTTTACTCCAGTTCAGGTTTTGATTTTTAAGCTATCACATTAGGCCATAATCAATCACAGATTAGAGTGTGAGTTATATAGGAATGTATACATAAACACTTTTTAAAGGCTGACTCAACTCTGGGTATAACAGATATTGAATAATATATATTTTTGAATGTGACTTCATCTCAGATTGGTGTCCTGAACCTACATCCCATGTATGTCTGAAAAACAATCCGAAACTAGTGGATATTTTTACTTTGTGGAGCATTTTAGTTGAAAACGTCAAATTTTCAGAGCCTTTATATGATAAACAAATACCTTCAAATAATTCAATATTATCTGGGCTCTTTCTTTGTTTTTACTTGTTGTTTATTTACATCTGTAGGTGACTCTAATAAAGAATTTGGAAGTGTATGGTTTGGATCCTGCAGTAGTTGCCACTGCTCTGCAGCACAGAGTCCAGGCCAGCGCCGTCTTACAGATCCTCCCTGGAGCTAAAGACAGAGTCCTGGTCCAGATCCAAGGAAACCAGGTTCATCAGGTTGGGAACCTGTTGCTTGGTAAGAACCTTTCTTCTTCTTTTTTTTTTTGGTAATATATTTATTTGAACAAACTGAATTATGATTTCCTTTCGCTAATTCAATTGCAGATCATTATCAGATTCCTCGCAAGTATATCCAGGGCCTGGACAAAGCTCCCAAGGGTGGGAAAAAGAAATAAAATTGGACTTAGCTGTGCCTGCTTTTTATTGCACTTAAAGCTGTTATCATATTACATGTAATGCTGGCCATTCTTTTAATTAAATTGCATCCACTATCCCTTCCTGACATTTGGTTCAACTTATTTTCCGGTTAGGTTTTGGCTACAGTCTGGACTGAGGAATCCAAGATGGAACTAATTGAGGAGTTCAGCTACGCCAGATAACATTTTGTTGTTGTAGCAAGATTATTAACGTCTGATGGCAAAAAAAAAAAAAAAAACATTTGGTGTAAAACTTATTATAAAATTCTTGTTTGAATTTATTTATTTTTTTATGTATTTTGGAACTTCTGAGGCCCTAAACGCAGTTATGTTTGTAAGTGTAAAACCATTTAGTAAGTAGATAAAGTAAATTTGTGTAGCACTTGTCTCTGGTAAAATCACAATTTACTTCAGTAAGAGAGTGTACACATTAAAACACAAATAAATTAAATATGAAAAAAAAAGTAAAACAAAAACAATATTTATTTTAAGGAAAAGCACAATTAAATAAGAATGTCTTCATTGTTTATTTTTTTAATGAGTCGAGATTCTCAAGACAATTAAAAAAAATAAATCTCATCAAGTTTTACACCTGGTCCTTTGGCCTACGGTTAGATTTTAGTTTGATGCCTTAAGGCTTAAGCAGTCGAGTTGGTGTGTGAGTGGCTCCGACAATTCAGTAACAAAGAAAGAAGCTTGATAGACAAATCCTGAAAGACAAAGTCTGAATTTTAACGTGACCAGGTAACCTCTTTAAAGACGTTGAAACAGGACTCGTGAGCTTTTCTGTTTATTTGTAAGAGCCTTGCTGCAGAGTTTTTGAAGATGATAAGAGGCTTTTTTGTTGAAATATGTGAAAAATGTATTACAGTCTGGAGAGAAAATAAAAATCTCAAGTAATCATCTCTATTTCTTGTTTCGACCACCAACTTGGAAATATTTCTCAAATAACAAAACAGTTTCAGAAGATTTGTTCTGAATAGCCTTTAAAGCTGTAGTGGGTAACTTTTATGTCTTTATATATATATTTTTTTTTTTTTTTTTTTGTTAAATCTGTCACTATGGTATTTTGACAATCTTTTATGCCCATCTTTGGGCAAAAATGTTTCATGAAGGAAAGACAAAAACATAAAAACGTTTTTTTTTTTTTTTTTTTTTTTTTCCCCCCGGGGTTTTAAGTTTAGGGAAAAAAAAAATTTTGGCAGTTTTTAAAAAAGGGTTTTTAAAAAA